TGGGATGAATAAACTGTATATCTTCATTTACTTGTCTGAGTACCTTCCTAGGTACCATCCCTGTATCAAGGGAGAACACATTTAAAAATTTGAAACACAATACTAAACCCCTTCCCCAGATAATATACCAGCATGTATTTCCAACAGCAGGATATGATGTCCCACTTCCCCCACCCTCAGCAATGTGGGGTATTGTAGGAAAATTGTCTCTCATTACTGCTGCAATTGCTTTCTTGTGAAGTAAAATGTCTTAACTATTTTTTAGCCTTGAGTATTTCTTCTGTGGATTACTTCTTTATGTTCTTTCTCCTTCTTAAATTGTAGTATTCGTCTTTTTCTTGTTTTCTTGTTCTGTATGTTGCAAAGTTTTTCTCCAAAATTTGCAGTTTTCCATTAGGGATGGAGTTTGGTGTTTGGCTTTTACTAAACACATTTTATATATATATATATATATATATATATATACTATATATATATAGTCAAATCTACTTTTCCTCTTATAATTTCTTCTTTTTAAGTCAAATAAGTCTTCATCTCTTTTTTTTAAGCTAGTTTGTTCATGGTTTCATTTTTCTGCAATTAACTATTTAAGTCACTTGATTTTTTTTTTCATGGGCCTGCCCCTTCTTCACCTAGATGGGGCTCCTCCCTCAGACTAAGTTGGGTCTCTCCATCCTTTAGTAGGACATAGTGCCAGATAGTTTTAACCCTAAAGCTCCTCCATTTACTGGATGATGTGTTCTTGGCTCCACTAGAGTTCTGCCTTTCAGGACTTGAAGTATGGCCATCTTAAGGTCTAGGGCCAAACCCAGGTAGGCGTACCCTGAGCCTGGATCCTGTGCCCTTTGAGAGTTCTGAAGATTGCCAGGCTGTCACCAGCCCTCTAGGGGAATCAGCAAGGCTCCCTGTGCTGTTTCATCTACTCACAGAGCCCCCAGGACGGGGACCATTCAGCCTTTCATCTGGGCTATCCATTATAGCCAGATGCTGCCTGCTGCCCCTTTATGAGGGAACAGACTTGGGAACCATTTCCTACAACTGTAGGCAGAGGGGTGCAGGGCTTACCTTCAGGGTAGAAGTTTCCCAGTTCACAGGGCCTGCAGCTGGTTCACCCTGACCACATTCGGAAGTGGAGCCTTTCAACAGAGCCTGGTGGCCAGAGGCCCATGCAGGGGACCAAGGGGCAAGGCAGAGGAGGGAAAGAAGGAAGTGGCAGTGCAGTTACTGAAACCTAAGCAGTCCCATTTCACCACCAGCCAGCCAAGGTGCAGCAAGCACAGGAGTGAGAGAGGCCACAGCACGGAGAAGTTGTGAATAAATGGCAAAGAGAAAGTGGATGAAGTCAGCCACAAGCTCAAGTGCCTTCCCTATGCAAAGACACATACAAGCAAGACAGGAATCACTCTTCCCAGCTGGGGCAGGACCAGAGACCCAGTTCCCTGAGGAGGCCAGGGCACCGCAGAGAGCAAGAATCAACAAAGGGGAGGATTTGGTGAGACCTAAGGGAAATTCAAACCCTAGAGTTCATGCTTAGAGCCTAGATATCCCAAAGTCAAGGCGATGGCTGGCTTTTGATTCTTGTATTAATACTTATGTAAGGGAAGAAAATTAAAAAGCTGAGGAATTTTTAAAAACATCATTAGAGGTGGCTCACTCCTGTAATCCCAGCTTCTTGGGAGGCAGGAATCAGGAAGATCATGGTTCAAGGCCGGCCCAGGCAAAAATCAAGACCCTATCTCTAAAACACCCAACCCAAAAAAGACTCGCGGAGCGGCTCAAGTGGTAGAGCTCCTGCCTAGCAAGCCTGAGGCCCTGAGTTCAAGCCCCTCTTCAGAAGTCCCCTCAAGCCAGCTCCAGGCACCCAGATGTGTGATGAATAGATCATCTGTCAGCAACAGACTAGTTAAAATAACAGTCGCACAAAAGTAATTTGTTGCTGGGCACTTGTGGTTGGCACCTGTAATCCTAACTACTTGGGAGGCTAAAATCAGGAGGACCATGATTTGAGGCCAGCCTGGGCAAATAGTTTGCGAGGCCCCCACCTCCAAAATAACCAGAGCAAAATGGACTGGAGGTGTGGCTCAAGTGGTAGAGCGCCTGCTTTGCAAGTGTGAAGTCCTGAGTTCAAACCTCAGTCTCAGCAAAAAAAAAATAATTTGCTTGCCAAAGTGTTCCTCAAAGTTATGGGTCCTACCGCCTTAATTCCAATGGGATTCTGTCGAGACGTGTTCTGTAGTCACATTGGCTGGAACCCGGAAATGGGGGCAGTGGACAGAGAAGGAAGTGTGCGCCCATGGCTTACACTCTAGGGAAAGGACAACAGCCCAGAGTCACGTGTAACAAAAAGCAGCGTAGAGAGACGGTCAGAGACAGACAGGATGTTGTCACAGACCTTATGGAATAGAACAGAACCAAGGGCGCAAGCCCCAGGGCAGCACATTTGAGATTCAGGATAGGGAAGAACTTTGTATCATCAAAAGCTGTCAAATTTGCAAAGTCCCTTGGAAGGCAGCAGTTTCCATAAGCAGAACCTGGAGGTGACATATGTGGACCATGGTAGGAGTCCCAGCATTGGCATAGCTCGCCTATGAGGTCCCTTCCCCTATGGAAGTGCACGATTGTTCCTTTTCCAACATTCTGGGGAAGGGGACAGGATTTGAGATGACTTATACTTTTGTTTTGTCCATTTACAAGAACACACACTCCCCAGCTACAGGCAGCTACCTGTGCTGCCCCACCTAGGCAAGTGGTACCCTGCTGGAAGAGCAGCCAACAGCTGGTTGGCATTCTGGGCCTGGTTCATGCCAACTCTGTTAACTACGCCAGGATGTCAGCATAGTTGCAAAATAAATTGAGAGAACACACATACAGGCCCCACACCAAAGGTGGTGAGAGCAAACCTGCAGTCTATTCTAGCTGGGAGACTCAGAGGCTTGGGCCATGCACAGTCACAGGGGGCCCAGGGGAACCCATCAAAAGCAAATTTTGGATTGGGAAAAAAAGGAGAGTGCTGAGGTGGATTAGAGCACCAAGGCTGAGCTCCCAAGGGAGGAAGAACCCGCCCTGCTTTGCTGTCTCCTCAGCAAAACTGAGATGGGCTTGACTGCACTGCCTGGCCCAGCAGGAGTAAGCTGCAAGGGTCCTGGTAAGATCCAAGTTCCCTTAGAGCAGAGGCAGAACAAAAGGAGCCCCATGAGCCATCTGATTCAGGGACAAGGGTCTGGGAACCTACTTACCCTATCAGAGTGGAGGACAGGGGGGTGCAGCTCTGTTCTGGCAAAATGGGGCAGGTTGTCCTAGGAGAGTCTCTGTCTGCAACTCAATGCAGTTTAATATACATGTGCTTCCTGACTGAGAGCAATGGTACACCCTCAACCAAGGAGAGCTCCAAGAACAAGTTTTATTGTACACCTCTGCTCAGCACTATCCCAAGTCTGTGTGTTCTCTAGCATGCTTCCTTCATGGTGGCCTCTCCCATCTTTGTGTTCTGATGTTTTGGGCCCCATTTGTAGATGTAAGGTGTGTAAGCCATGACTGCTTGGAAAACTCAAAGGCAAGTATCACAGAAGTGTCACTGAGGCTTGAAGGGCTTTCTAGAGCATGGCCTGGGAAACACGATGGCCAGCAGGTAATTGGGGACTGGTGGTGTCCTTTGACATGCGAAAGGTCATCATAAACGTCCCTTAAGCCACACAAGTTTGGCCAGCAGTTGTCCGATTACAACCAGAAGAAACCAAAGTGGAGGTAGGTCTGACTTCAGGACAAATGAAAGGCCAATGGCCTTTGCTGGCAATGCAGCTCAATATGGTCTACAAAACATCTGTTCGGCCTCAGCGCATCTGCCCCAGATAGTGCCCCCATCACTAGGCCCCAGTCCCTCGGAGATAGTCCTCTATCCTTGAAGAAGAGGTTCACCTGACTCCTGATATTGGGTTACTTTTCCAGCCCGAGGGAATAAGCAAACCTATCGGAGGCCACTGCCACCCATCATATCTGAGGCATGAGAGTCACCCTAGGGCCAGAGGCTGCTTGACTTGCTTAAGGTCATAGACAGGCAAAAGGCAGGGCTAGAAGCCAGTCCTCCGGTCAGGCAAGTCAATGCATTTTCTCCATCACCTCCTTGTGTTTTCTCCTTAAGAATTCCAGGCCCCAGCTAAAAGGGGAAGTTGGTTCCCATATGGACCTTTCACATCATGCCCCCCAGCATACTGTCACCTGACTGACTGCAAAGGAGCTCTTTGCAGCAGGGGGCCCCTTGCCTTGCAGCAGCCTTGACTCACAAGCAAGGAGAAAGTCAGCAAGGCAGCACAAGAGCCAGGATGAATCCCCCAATTGCCTTCCAGCCCCACCCACTACCGCTCCACCCTCTAGGACACAGGGGTCTGCTCACCTCTTCAACAACACTTGCTAAGCGCCTACTGTAGTGCTGGGGCCTGGGCTAAGGACACACAGTTTGGAGTTTAGAATCTCTACAGCAGGAAGCTGACAGGCTGGGGGAGGGGAGAACACATTGACTGGATGATCCCATTAATTAATATCCAATTACAAATGGAAATAAGTGCAACAAAAGTCTGTTATAAAGGGGCCTGACCAAGAAGCCGGCCATAGGGAAGTGTAGGGCTCCAGGGCTGGAACCTGCAGGAGGGGGAGCTGGCTGAGTGGGAGATGACAGAGCAACCCATGCAGGTCTGGGCAAGGCACACCCAAGGGAGCGCAGGGGGACTTCTGCGGGTGGCAGGGAAAGTATTCAGCAGGATTCCTATGGGGAAGCCTGGGTGCAGACCAGGGCCTGACCATCCAGTCTTGTCCACACAAGAGAAAGGTCAGAAGCACACCTGCCTTTCTTTTCCTCTCAGCACAACTGTGGCACAGGAACTTCATGAAATCCTAGGCTTTCTAAAACGGTCTGTTACAGAAACGGTGACAAAGCCAGACATCTGTCAGTCAGGGAAACTTCTGGAGGCCATAAGGGCTGAATACAGAGGGCAACCACAGCATGCTTGCTCTAGCAGCATTTTTATTTACAAACAGCAATTTCCATTGACTTTATACCATAAAAAAAGCCATTTACAAGCAAGAAACAAGAATTCGGAACAAAATTAAGCAGCACTGAAATATTCATGTCACAAATCTAAAACAAAATGAATACGAGAGTAAAATATCATTTGAATAAATAGTCTTAAATCCATGCTATAAAATAATCCTTAATGGCAGGTTACTAGTTGATACAGCATCCGCTTAGCTAGCTTCATTTACTTCACGTGGTGATGAAGTGTGGAGTTGTGAGGTTACCAGTTTATATTGCAAGATAATGACACTGTGTTAAGTCATTCAAATTGCTCAACCATTTATAACGGAAAACAATGTTAGCCCTACTAATAAAGTGGTGAGAGGGATGGTTTTCACATTAGGAAAAACGGCCATTCTCAAACTAACCAGGGAAGTTTACCTCCTACTCTAGTCAGGGCAGCAACCAGAGGCTTGGGTCTCAAGTCCAAAGGTTGAATTCACAGCATACTTGTCACTGAGGGGCAGCAAGAGGTCTGTTTACTGAATTGCTACACAGAGCACCAAGCAGGCTGGCTCCGGGACCTGATCAAGGAACTTATTAGCCCTGTCTGTGCCAGACCCAGGAAGGGAACCAGAGAACACAGGTTCTCTTCTGGGCTGAGAAGTCAAGCACTGCACAGAAACAGTGAGAACACTCTGGCACTTACCGAAAAAGACGCATGTGACCTGTGACAACCGTTACAAATTTGGAACAATGTGAATGACTTTTCTGAACTTTCAGTTCAGTTGCACTGAGTAATATGAAATCTATGATTTATGAACTAAATAGTTTCATATAAAGAATTTACATAATTCCCCAATACTTTCATATATAAAATTTAATAAATAACCCTGACCAGTCTAGAAGCACCATTCAAGGGGCACGTGCCCTTGGAAAATAGTTTAGGTGTTGCATATTTGAGTCCCTTTCAGTGGAGGCTTCACAGGAAACCATTATAGAATTGAACAGTAAGAACGACGATAACAACAACAAAAATATCACAGTAACAAATAGAAAAAGTTGTTAAAACTAAACACATTGATCTCTAAAGTAAAGCTCATTCACATAGATGACCCCCCTAGCCCTTGTTTTGTGTTCCTGCAAATTCTTCCTGGAATCCAGGCTGCTACAACAAAAATAAAAACAAAACCACACACAAAAATACGCAGGTCTATGGTCTGGGCTAAGGGAAAAACAGAGTTGGTTATAACTGCTATCATTAGAAGAGATATGCTCTGGAAGATTTGGAAATAATCAATTTAGTTCTACAGTATATTCTGCTTAACAGTGAACCGACAGTATCCTTTCTGCTGTTTTAAAAAACTAAATCAAAACAAAACAAAAAAAACCAAACAACTGCCAAGGCAGAACCAATTGGTTGAGAGGCTTTTCCACTGACCAAATAATTAACTTGTCTTCATATACTGTATTTACAAATATAATTTTTAAATGTATTTACAGCTTTAATAGAAATTAGAGGGCAAAGAATTGATTAAAATGAAAAATTTAAAACCACAAACATTAGCAAAAGTATAAAATTTTTTGTGTTCACAGTTTGTAATAACAGGTTAAACATTGATAGAAAAGGACTCTGTCACTGTCTTCACATTGTCTAATATGGAAAAGGTAGCTCAAGAAGAGACTCAATTATGAACAAGCCTATAGGAATTCAGGATATACTTTACTGTAAAAGATCTCTTCACATATCACTCTATCTGTTATAAATGAAACACCTAACCTAAAACTGTACAGAAATAGGGACTTTGCTTTCCAAAAAGAGTTTGCTCTAAGGAGCTCCACAGCGTCCTTTGTCTGTGGAGACGTGGAGTGAGCTTCGGGGAGAGAAGGGTTCTGTTCTGGGGCCATGTCAATCCTCCTGGCACATCCTCATGCGGCAAGGCACAATGAACTGCTGCTGTCCCTCTGAGTGGAGTGACTCTCACGCCCTGCCCCACCGCAGGAGGCAGGCAGTGGAGCGCTCATCTCAGTGAGCACACAGCGCTGTGCTGGCCTTGGCGCCACCTCCCTCGAAGCCCGCGAAACCTTACAGTACTGTGTTATGGCTTGAGAATTCATCTTAACACTGCTAGCAGTGGAGAGGGTCAAGTGTTAGCAACATGAATGGGAGCAAGTGGAACTTGCAAAATGAGAATCATGACGATTAGAGAGAAACTCAGTCAATTTTCTGCCCCTTATCAGTCCCATTACAATGTCTGAACCTGAACTGTACAATCAAAGCAATGGATATTTTTGTCAAAGACAATTTTGGATAAGTCACTCTTTGGTAAACTCAAACCAGCTAAACAAGTTTACAAACACAAGAACTCCATGAAAATAAGGTTTAGACAGACACGGTGACAAGAAGCAGGACATGGAGGTGCTGCCTCAAGTGCTCCCCCCTCCTCACTGTCTCTTATCTCTTGAAAAGCTCTGGAGCCCTCGCAGGAAGCCCCAAGCCTGAGTGAAAAGGAGATCCCTTCCCTGAGCTTGACCTCTCATGTCCTTGGATTTAGGCCTTTCTTGTCACAAACTCATTTTGTATCACAACACAAATTTTTTGCATTTAATTTTTAAAAAAGAAAAATAAAAAGCAAACTTATTTGTGGGAAAAAATATCACAAACATTTACCTGAAACCCCAGAACACATTTAAGTGGGTAAACACTTGGGGTCTAGCCTCCCCTTGAGGCACGCGGCTTTATCAGGAGTTGAGCAAGTGCTTCAGGGAGAGAGCCAACCCCCACTTAGGCAGTTTGATGAGGAAAAAGGCATACTATATACCCGATTAGCAAGCGCCGCTCCTCTCCTGGAACAGCGAGATTAGAGAGTAATCTACGCGGAGTTAACACTGAGGTGTAATGCAGCAGTTCACACGTGAACAGATCCTGTGTGCTAAAGAGGTGCTACTGCACAGCCACCACCCGGGGGCTATTACACGAGGGGCTTGAATGACTTCCTCAAAAAATAAAAAAACCCAAAACAAAAAAATCCCCCAAATCCACCATTCTTGGTATTTTAAGAGCCAAAAAAGCATGGGAAACCAGCAAACACCTATTTCTGTACTCATTAACTTCTAGCTTCTGAGGCTGGTCTTTTGTTCTGTTTTTCTTTTAGGTGGCTATGCTGTTCTCCTGTGGAGACGGGCTAGGGTATGGGTCTCAGAGCCCAGGTTCTCAGGCAGAGAGACTGATGCTGACAATCCCTGGGTGGCCTACAGCAAGACTAATCCAAGCTGCTTCCAAAATGGCTCTCTGCCAGAGTGTACAGTACCAGAGCCATCTTGTAAAGCTGTTCGCACATGTGAACACAGGAGTGGACTGAAGCTGTTTCCTAAAGTACTATTAGAACATTACTCAGACAGGACTCAGGTTTGCTTTCTACAGTAATCTGTTTGCCAACACATGCTTTTGAGGTCTCTTTTTAAGCTATGAACTCAAGAAAGAAAAGCAACTATAATTCATTATTACCATTAGATTTCACATTTTCTACAACTATACTGACCTAAAAAGATACTTAACATAAAAATAGCACCACGTGACCAAAAATATGGTGACACACACAGATTTGGTGACACACAGAGTATCTTAGAGGGCCTCGAACTGTTGGTTTCTTTAAGCAGGAAACACTGAGAGAGCGGAGGAGCCACTGAGGGCTCTCATTAGTACACACAATACTAAGATAGATATATTGCTTGCAATTCCCATAGAGTATAGCTTTACAAAAAGTACAAATTCCAAGTTCTGCAGTTTCCTTGGGAACTGCATGTAGAAAAAGTTGCTGTGCACCTGAACTGGCTGTTTGAAAAGATAAAGAAAAAAAAAAAAAAGCCACACACACACACACACACACACACACACACACACACAAAACACTGCTTGGAGAATTTTGTAGACAGAACTACAAATTCCTTTCCTTTAGTGCGAGTACTAACTCATGGTAGAGTGATTCGATTTAGTTACCTGGTATGTATGTTTCTACAGTACGGAATGAAGGTAGATTTGTAGGCCGGTAAAAACCTTGAAAACCACTGCTCCTTTGGGGTTGGCTAATAACACTACACTATGTAAAAGGTCAGCACCACAGGTCATCCAGTTTACCTGCTGGACAACGAACAAAAAATTCCAAACGGTTTCCAACTAGAGTTGAAGAAATTTTATGGCATTTGGTTCATGTATTTGTTATGAAGCAGAGCTATGAACACTGTGATTTGCTTTGCCTGCTTTTGGACAAAATGATTAATATATATGAACACCTACTGACATTCTTCTGTAGGGGAAATGAAGGGGCAAAACTAATATATCAGGTAGGGATGGGACAGAGTCAAAGACTCTGTTCACATTTTATTAAATTATATATTCCTCTTACATTCACCTCAACCAGAATAAACTCAAATTTGAGACTGTATATATACTATATATATAATAATTACTTTATTATATATATATATAAATTGTCTAACTACCCCCTAAAAGTAATTTTAACTTAGAAAAGGTTACCCATTTGTATCAACTGACGGCATCCTAGTCTCTCTCTGTGGAAATGCACTGGTGCCAGTGCCCACAATGAGAAAGAGTATGCCTCTTGGCAGAGAACGTAGGGTCAACCAGTTGGCATAGCTAAATTACTGGCAGGTTTGGGATTTAGAGTTCGGCCAAAGAGAAATACTGTCAGCCTGTGTTTTCCCTGGATATGTTGCCCTTCATGCTTTGAGCTCCTTGGGGGAGAGAGGGTGGAGGAAAGGATAAACACAATGAAGTGTTCCATCCAGAAACTTTAGAAAAACTGCCAACAGACCAAGAGATTTCCAGATGGTTGGGAAAACCAAAGATTACAACAAAGCAAATCACAAATATGCATTGATTAATGTGCTTTGTTTGGTGCACTTCTTTACCATCTTACTCAGGAGCATCAGACACTGTGTGAATTTCCATGCGGGAATCTAGGGCCATCTCTGAGGCCGACGCATCATTTTCTAGTTTCTGTTCCATGTACACATCTGTTCTCTCTGGGGACTCAATGCGACTCCTGACTTCAGCAACGCCTGGATGGTTTTTCCGCAGGTGCTGGTTGAGGGTACCTTGGAATGGAAAGCACTTCCCACAGATCTCACAGCGGAATGGTTTGTCATCAGTGTGGCCCCGGATATGGTACTCCAATTGGTCCTTGCGCGTGTACTTCTTCCCACAGAACTTGCACACAAAGGGGGTGATTCCCATATGGAGTCGCATGTGCCTATCTAGGCTTCCTTTCTGGTTGAAGGACTTCCCACAGTAAATGCAGATCAACCTCTCATTGTAGGGGTACCAGTGACCTCTGGCACTCCTCTCCCTGGGACTGCTCTCATACCCAGGGTTGTTCATCATGGCTTCGCTGTCAGACCCCTGCACCACGCCCTGCAGGTCACTGTGCATGTGGACAGACAAAGCCCGCTTTTGGCGAGCACGCCCTCCTCGGAAACAGCTCAGCATTGACCTGGATGGGCTGGAATTACTCAAACTTCCGAAAGCTTCAGATACACCTGATGGCTGTGAGGCTGACTGCGAGTAGGAATATGCATGCTGGAGTACAGAGCCATAGGAGCCCACGTTCACTGCCACAACTTGTTCCCCATCAACCATCTCAGTGTGGTACCCGTCATCACCCAGGGAGGAGCTGTCAGAACAGCTGGGCCGGTCGGACTTTTCCATCTTCACTTTTACCTCGGCGATCTGGCTTTCCCTTACCAATAGGTCCCCTTGCTCATGGTCCCCTTCAATCTGAATCTCATACTCCGACACACTCCCGCTGCTCCCCCGGTCCGAGTGCCCCTCCTCCTGTAAGCGGCTACGCAAAGCTTTGCTGGGGGTCGTCTCCATCCGAAGATCACTGCTGGTGGTGGGCTGCCGTACCTGAGGGCAGTATGGAGGGGAGATCTCAACTGGGTTGGCGAAGAAACTGCCATCTTTCACTCCATTGCGGCTCTCAGGATTGTCCTCAGCACCAACGGTGACAGAGTCAACATCTCCAACGCTGATCTTTGAGTGAATGCTCTCTAGGATCTGTGTGCACTTGTCAATAACACACTGCATCTGAAGAAAGCTGGCTGCAGTCAGAAAACTGACCACATCCTTCAGCTGCAAGGACATTCTTCCAGTGTAACAAAAGGAAAGCAACTGCTCAAACACATTGGGGTTTTTAATGACTGATATTGACAAGCCACTCATGGTACTTAATGCTGAATGGTCCCGGAAATATGGGGAGCTGGCAGCAAGGACTGCTTTGTGGGCTCGGAATGGCTGACCCTGAATGTGGACAATGATGTCACATAGTTTCCCTTGCAGGCGGAGTTCGTTTAGTTGGCTCAGAACGGTGCTGCTGTACTCGGGCACATCAAACTGAATAAAACTGCTGCTGTCCATTTCTACTGACATAAGGCGTAATCTGCAGAAAGAGAGAGTTTTCATAATTCACCAATGTCTATCAGAACAAGTGGCAGCACCAAGCTTACCACATCAACAACACTGTAGCTACCAAGCCCCCTGAGGTCTGCCTTTCTCTTGCTTATTTTTTAAGTCTTTCATCTTTGCGTTGATTCCCCTAAAGCCAAATAACCACCTGATTAGCTCCAATGTCATTACTCCCCCACACTCATCTTGATCAAAATCAAAACACTGCACGTATAGTAGGGCTATTTCAGCTTGCAATAAGAAATTGGTATCCTTTTAGGAAATGTATTTCCTGGCTTCACCTACTTTTGAGGTTTGAACGACTCTGTAAAAATAATTAAATTCATCTAAAAAATGTTCTGCCTTACTTATGTGCTTCTCATTGATATTTTTCGAGTATATAGCACAGTGAACACAATGAGTGGAGCACATCCCTTTCCAATATTGTCTTGATTTACCCTTTTTCCCCTTCAGCTTTGCCCGACCAAGCAATGCTTGGTCTCTTCCAGTTGAGGACTATTTTTAAGCAGTAGGAGCAAGAATGATGGACATATTGAAAGTACATTGTCCTCCACAAGTGCTCACAAGCGCTGGCACACCTGGGACAGTTTTGCTTTCTCTTGTCTGGAATCTGTAGTGTGGAATCACTCAAAACTGCTGAAGCACACTGAACCCAGGCTCCATTCTTTCACCAAAGCACAACAAGAATAGATCTAATAATATATTTTGGTTTTTAAATTTTAACCAAAAGATAGCCAAACACCTCCTTAGTAAGTACTGAATCACAGAAAAATAAAATGGAATAAAATACTTAGAAAATGAGAAAACACATAAAATCTTCAGCAAGAAAGGTTCAAGAGTAAAGTTTACCTGTCTTCCGTTTACTCAAGAAATAGGTGGGCAGATCCAAGATAAAGCAAACATGGCAAAATATGACAATCCTAGCTTCAGGCAGTGGATGTTTGGGTGTCTACCATAAAGTCCGCCCAACTCCTCTATATATTTGAAATTTTTCATAAGGAAATGTTGGGGCTCAGAAGACATCAACAAAAAAGTACAGCACAGACATCAGTGCCTTAAAAGTTTTTAATCATTAAAGAAATGCGAAAGGACTGGGGCTGTGGCTCAGCAGGTAGAGCACTTGCCTAGCAAGTGCAAGGCCTTGAGTTTAAACCCCAATACCACCAAAAAGAAAGAAAAAGCAAAAAGAAAACAAACAAAAAGAAATGCTAAAAATAAGTGAAACAATTCTACTCAGGAGATTGGAAAAGGAACAACCAATTAAGCCCAAAGAAAATAATTAATACAGCAAAATAGCATATAATCACAGAGAAAATTTTTAAATTTTAAGAAAAGTCTAAGATCCTTGCAAGAAAGGATCAGTTAGCATGGCTACATCACATCAGAATTCTTTTTCAATCGTGTCAGAATTTGAGTTAAAACATTTTAGTCAAAAAGGAATATTGTGCCTTTATTTATCCTAGACTTATGATGGAAATCAATTTGAAATTTGTATGGAATGGACATATTTTTAGGATAACATAAATTGGCAGAGCTAAGTAAAAAAGAAACAGAAGTGCCAAGGCACAAATGATCTTCAGACCGTTCACACTGTTCTAGACACATGTAGAAACATTTAAAGCATCTCAGTTCATCTGGCACAAATCTTGACACCAGAAGATGACAAACAGCATAAAGAACACTGTCTACTTTGCCTACATAGATTTTAAAAGTCATAACAGAAATACTAGGAAATACAACCTATTAAAAATATATTATAACCAAGAATAGTTGCTGCACAAATGTAAGGTTGGTTACATGTTAGGAAATATACTAATATAATCAGTAATATCAGGAAGTCAAAGAAGACAGTGACTGTATGACCAAATCAGTACTGTGCCAAAAAAATCCATTTGACAAAGTTAAATGCTCTTTTAGAGTAAGGAAAAAATAAGCTAGCAACAGAATAATACTTTCTTAATAAACAATATCTATAAGCCAATGGCAACATCATCCTTAAAAAGAAACACTGTCTTTTCCAAAATGTACTCAACAGAACACAAGTTCATGAGCTAGCCTCAATATCCTTACCTCCTAGGAATTAAAAACACATTACCATAATAACCCATCTGAAAAGTCCTGCAGACAAGCAGTCTGTTTAACTCAGCAGTTTCCAAACTCATTTAACTGTGGAACTCTTCTCTCAAGGTACATACATTAATATTCCAAAGAATCAGTGTTCCCTGAAGCACATTCTGGTAAACACTTCAGTAAAGGCATTCCCATCAGGCCCTGGAAGATAGACAAGGTTTTCTACCATCATCACTCTTAACGTTGTTCTGGAACCTCTAGCCAAAGAAACAAGGGAAAATTAAGACACATGCCCATTAAAAAAAGGAGATAAAAATTACTGTTACATGCAGTAAAATGACTGCTACAGAAAATACAAACAAATCATTTGCAGTATGTGTCAGAATCAGGCTCTAATAAGTGGAGGATTTAAAAAAATAATTGAATCTAAAAACAAAACAAAACAGGTAAGATAATGTCAACCAACAATATAGCAACAGGAACTATAGAATACCTGGAAAGGATAAATAAATAGAGTCAACAGGAAGAAAAACACAATACTACCTTAATGAGGACAAAAATATGGAAATGAAGACATGCTTCTGGCAAGAAGATTCAGTACTATAAAGATGGACACTTGCTCTAAAATGAATTTATAAATATAAATGCAAGCCAATGGAGTATCTTCTTAGAAACTTGACAGTATGATTTCAAATTTCATTTAGAACACTGATGTCCAATAGAAATAGAAGCTATATATTTTTCATTTAATGTTTTCTAGTACTTACTTTATTTTTCAGTGCTGGTGATGAATCTAGGGCCTCATGCAAGCTAGACAAGTACTCTACCACTTACTACATTCTAGCCCATCTAGTAGTTACATTTTATTTATAACATAAAATTTTGGTATATTTTTATTTAACCTAACATATCAAAGACATCATTGCAGCACGTAATCAGTATCAGAGCAGAAAGGCATGAGACCCTAGCATGCGTGAGGCCCTGGGTTCGATCCCAGCACCAAAAAAGACAAAAAAAAAAAAAAAAAAAAAAAGAAAGGCAAGAGACACTTTAAATTCTATTTTCCATTTTCAGTCTTTAAAATCCAATGTATTTTGTACACAGCATGTCTCAATTTAGACTACTGGCATTTCAAGTGCTCAGTAGCCTCTCATGGCTATCATACTGAACAGGGTAGATCTAGAGGAATAAATACTGAAGAAATTTTAGAAAAAATATAGCCAACTTAATGTGTGATTATTAGGTGTAATTTATTTGGTAAATATGTACTATCTTCTATGCGTCAGGCACCAGGGACCCAGCAGTTATAATTCTCTCATCATAAACTGTGCTAAGAGCTATGACGCCTTTTATAATGGGGGAATGGTCAGAGAAGGCCACTTAAACAAATGCTATTTTATTTTATTTTTTTTGTAGCCCTGGGGTTTGAACTCAGGGTTTCATGCTTGCTAGGCAGGTGCTCTACCACTTGAGCCACTCCACCAGCAATAAATGCTATTTTAAATGACACCAAAAGGATAAGTAAAAGTTAGTTACATCTGTGAGAGTGGGGGGTGCAACAGGCAAACTGGACAGAAAAGATCACATGTGCAAACAGATAAAAGGCCTGGGTCAAGAAGGAAGGGCTTGTGGAAGCCTCTTGGCACAGTGGGGACGAGGTGTGAGAAGGGCAGAGGTCACATGAAAAGACAGCATTATGGGCCATTTCAAATCAGCAAAAAAGGAACAATTATTAAATAGATGTTGCTTAAGGAATTTGAATAAATAATTGTTAGATCTCTTCTTCAGGATACCCCTAAAAAAGGGTTTCTAAGTACTAGAAGACAGATATGTAGCTTCACTACAAAAGAAGTGAAACTTCTGTATATCTAAAAAAAATGCCTTTTCCAAAAAAAGACAGAAAATCATGAAAAATACAACATATACAGCAGATAATTATGAGAGATATAAATCAATAAAACCAAATACAATAATTGAAAACTTGGCAAAGAATGTGAATAGATGCTTTAAAAAAAAGAAATTAAAAAGCCTTGTAAACAGAGGAAAAAATGCTTAGCCGCTTCATCAGTAAACAAAAATGACATGACACACAGTTCTCTCTCAAATTGACAGAATTTAGAAAAATGCAAACCAGCTGTCATCTAACAAGGGGTCAGATGTATCTACTCGTTACAGCTTTTTTCACAATACAAGTTGTCTAAACAGCAACTGGTGGAATGAAAGGGTAAAGGAAGGTGGGTTTGGGCTTTCAAAGGTTTGGAGTCTTGGGCAAAAACCAGGAGATAAAGGACAACTACAAAGCATTTCTGAAATAGAAGGTAAAACTGAAAACAGGTTCACAATGAGGCCTCCTCTGCTTTGAGTGGCTTTTTAATCTTCTCAAAAGAAAAGTAGAGATCTACACTTGAAAGAAAAATCACTGAGTAGGAGACCAGCACACCATGATTAACACCTAGGAGGGATTCCATTTTTCTGCGAAATGTGAAAGGAAGGCTTTGCTCTCCTTCCCTTCCATTAACACTTCTTTCTCAGTGACAATGAGATTCGAAGACTCCTCCCTAGAGTTGCTAACAAGCAACACCCTTGAGAAAGAGGCTTCTGAAAGACTGGTGGAGTGAATTTACAGTTAATCTCAGTTCTAGGCAGTTTCCAGGCTAGAGAAAGCAAAAGACATAATTAATCACAAGTTCTCTACCCCTGACCAGATTTGTCAGGTCCAGTGGTCCAAGGCTAGAAGAGGTCAGAACCTTTTGTAGGGACATCAAGTGCAAATATGATCTTCTCCTCTGAACTGGCAGTTTCCCTATGGGCTGCTCACTAGCTTCTGGTGGATCCTGATTTCTCCCCTACATGGAATGTCACTGGGCCTACACCTATGTTAGGTCCATTGTTGATTTAATTTTATCTTTCAAGTAAAAATATGCATATGGTAGAACTTCAGATCATACAGAAAAATAAAGAATCAGCAAAACTCTCCCCAGTCCCAGCTCCTTTTCCTAAAGATCATCACCAATATGAGTTCTGGGGTTATGTACCAGCAGAAACCGCTCTGTATAGCACTCTTAGGAAAAGTATTTAATAGACCTTAAAATCTTCCCATAGCAGCACTACTTGTCCATCTCTTTTTTTCTGACTCTTACAGCATTCCATGGGCGGTTGTGTCACAATGTTCTCAACCAGTTCCAACTGATACCCAAAACAGGAAGCAATTTAAACAGTATTATAAACACAGAATGGTGACGGCAGGCATTACACACACCTTGGCCTTCTGCTGTAACTCCTGGTAGAGGAGTTGTGAGGTTTTTCATTTCAGTCTATGATGGCAAAGTAATCTGTAAGAGGTGGCAGAAACTATCTTCCACCCAGAGCACAGGGAAGAGGTGCTCCCCATAAGTGCTGAGCTGCTTCACCTGTGTTGAACTGACATGGGAAGAAGGTGTCTCATTGTTTTGATGTGCATGTGTTTATTTATCAACGAGGTGGGTATCTTTCCTCATGTTTAATGGCAATCTGTCTAAGTCTCTTTAAACTGTCTATTCTTATCCTGTGCCCTTATTATTTTTCTTATTATTGAATTGTCAGAGGTCTTTGCAAATTACATAAATTAGCCTTTGTCATAAGCTGCAAGTATGAGATTTAATTGCAATCACTAAATGGCATATTAACTGGGGACTCAAATTATTTTTCCTACCCTTATAGGAAATACTCAACATCAATCTCCTACATACACAAAACCAGAGAGAATTGGAAGATGAATACAAGTCCCAGTCTTGTAGTTTGATACAAGCTTAATGCAGATTCCTCCCAATTCAGAAGATATAGGAATGGAATTCATTTTTGATAATGCAGAGTAGTGATTTATATTAGTTTTTCATTTAGATTAAGTTTGCAGCTGCTTCAGAAAACAATAATGAATTTGATTATTTCACTCACTAAAAACATCAGAATCTGTATTCTTTAATTTAACAGCTTAATCATGGGTCTTTCCATAACATTGCGTTAGGCAAAAAACCATATCCAGACTCGACATTTACACTGCTGTATTTTAATTTTAAGAACAAGCACATATAAGCTGGATTTTTTTTTTTTTTTTTTTTTTTTGTAGTGGGGTTTAAACTCAGGGCCTCATGCTTGCTAGGCTAGGCAGGTGCTCTACCACTTGAGCCACACACCCAGCCCTTATTCACTTCGGTTATTTTTCAGATAGGGTCTTGTGTTTTTGTCTAGGGCCAGTTTCAGACCAACTGCAATCCTCCTAACCTATGTCTCCTGTGTAGCTCAGATTACCTTCACTACCATACTGGGTTTGTTGAGATGGAGTCTTGTTAACTTTTAAAGTAGCTAGAATTACAAATGTGAGCCACCATTCCTGGCCTTATTTTAACAATACTTATTTTGGGTTTGTTTGTAAAAACTATATTCTGTGTAAGAACAAGAAACATGTCTTTCAAAAACCCTATGTGGAGGGCTGGGCATCAGTGGCTCATGCCTGTAATCCTAGCTACTCAGGACAGAGATCAGGAGAATCGAGGTTCAAAGCCAGCCTGGACAAATAGTTTGTGAGATCCTCAAAAAAAACCCCTTCACAAAAAAGTGCTGCAGAGTGGCTCAAGGTGAAGGCTCTGAGTTCAAGCCCCAGTACCATTTGAAAAAAACAAACAAAACACCCTATGTGGAGAGGAATCAGTTGAAATAGTCTGTTACCTAAACTTCTTCATAGGCTTCTTCTGCTCATTTGACCAATGGAAAAACAATCTTCCTGCTCTTTCAGTTTAAAAATTTCTTCTTTTTTTTTTTTTTGGTGTGATTTGGATTTGAACTCAGGGCTTTGTGCTTGCAAAGCAGATGCTCTAATCACTTGAGTCATACCTCTAGCCCTAATTTCTTACTTTTGAAGAAAGTAACTTCTTACTTTTTAATTTCTTACGATTTCTTTTTCTTTCTCTGCAGTGCCAGGGATGGAATCCACAGCCTTGCCAAGCTAGGCAAGTGCTCCATCACTGACCTAAACTATCCAGAGTTCTTAGTTTCTTACACAGAAGGAAAACCAAGTCACACTCAAGGAAACAGCTTCACTTCACACCCAGCCTGTGCTGTGAGCACGAGGCCCGCACTGGTCTCAAGGAGGGATTCGGGTAATCCAGTACTCGCCCCCTGCCACATATACAAAAGCACTCTGCACACCAACTCCGATGAGTGTAAAAGGGGGTGACTATCATCTCTAGTCACACCCCTTAGCATCCCTCCTTTATCTGGG